AAGGTAGGGCAGTTGTAGGGCCGCTAAAGCAGTTTAAAAAAAACACATACTGTGATGTTCAAAATACAAAAAAATCTTAAACATGAGGTTAGAGAAGAGACTTTTCATGGAATGCAACTTAATGATGCTGAGGCTGTATTTAAGCAACTTTTCCCAGTTGATGGCACGGAAAAATGCACACTGCGCACAGCTGCTGTGCTCATGGATTTGCCATTCGTTTGGCCCCTGATGGTTTATCGTCTATAGCTCTGTAATGTGATTTATGTGTAGAATGTCCTGCACTCTGACTTGATCTTGGGCTTTGGCAATGTGCAGTGTGGGCCATGGACAGGCCTGTTTGTTTTTCGTTGTGGTGTCTGTCCTTCTGGAGAGGTGCAAGGGACTCTCCTAGGTAAGGGACTGCAGGCAGAAGCAGTGCCACCTGTCTGTGTAGGTCACCCCGCTGTGTCAACACACCTGTTTGCAGCCAACATCTACCCAGACAGCCTCGAGGGTGGGCTCTGGGGGACATTGTGACCACTGAAGCTGCCCTTGGCGCGCACGCAGAGTGGAGCAGCACGCGCTGCTCTTGTCTAGAAATGAAATCTCAGGGAGTTACAGTTGGCATCACGTTTCTGAAGCCGGTAACCTGGCTTCCTTCAAGAAACAGCTGGATGAGATGCTTGGATCAATGAGCTACTACCTGTGAAACAGATCAGATGTGGTGAATGGCCTCCTCTCCTTTGTCCTTTGTCTCTGTTCTTACGTTTATCAAGATGAACGGTGGCAAAGAAAGATGGGAGTTTCACTTTAGACTTGTGCTCTGCTCCCTCTCCTGGACACACCTGGCATTGCCTTGGACACACAGAAGTGTGAAAAAAGTACATTTGATGTTTGAGAGCCTCCACAGCCACTTAAACTGCAAGCGGATTCCTGTTTAAATTCGAGCAGTCCACAAATACATTAGGTGTGGGTGTACGTTGGCACTGACATATGGAAATGCAGACCATCAAGCATCCAGAAGACCACTTGCACTTTGGGGAGCCTGGACCCTAGGCTGTGGGACCCCTCTGGAAACCCAGGGCGATGAGGTGTTGACCTGCTGTTGGTGTTTTTTGCCATCAGGGACTGGGGGCCGAGGACGGGGTAGAGCTGCGGGGGGCAGCAGGTTTTCTGCGCAGGGCATGGGGTGAGTACAGTGGTGTGAGCTTGTCTGCCTCTTCTTTTTTGCTCTTATTTTTCCTGCTTGTGTGGTGTTGTGTATCCACTGCGCTGTGTGAAAACCTTATCAAACAATGAACTGGGGATAGAAGTGATGCAGACATGCCAGTTCAGAAACCCTTTTTTATTTCTGCTCATGCAAAGACAGTTCTTCCTGGTCAGTTTCTTTTTGGTGCGATATTTATCCTCTCTGCTGTCAGCACATTACTTTCTGTGTTGGACTATTGTGCTTTCCTGTGTCCGTGCCGCTCTCTCAGTGTGCTTCTTTGTGCCTTCTTCTGGCCCTATTTCTCCGCCTTTTCCATTTTCTCTGTTTCACTCTGCCTTCCCTTCGGTAGGACCTTTAACCCTGCAGACTATTCGGAGTCCTCGGGCACCGGGTCAGGGGGATCGAAGACGGAGGGCTGGGAGTCTGGCGGCAACGATGCTGATGACGGTACAGGTGAGGCCTGTGCTCAAGCAATATGGATGTTTTCTTTCATTAAAAAAACCCGGATCTGCTATTTTTGTGAACCCTTGTATTATTAACTTTAAACCTTCAAAGACTGAACGCAGCAAAGCATCCTGCCAAACAAAGGACCCCTGAAGAAGAATCGGGCAGTTGTGATAAATGCGCTGTCCGACAAGGTGATGACTGCTTTCCAAGCCTCCCCTGTCGCCCATCCTGGCACCTCGGATCCCATCCATCCGTCACCAGCTTGCAATCTGGGATCCCAAGACGGGCCAGGATCCTGTTAAGCCAGGATATGTGGAGGCTTCCAGACTGTACTAGCGGCATTCAGACCCACCAGCCTTATCTAGAGAGCAAGCCTGCAATCACCATGTAGCAAGAGTACAAGCTGAGAGCAGGGAATACCTTATTTTGCATAGTGGAAAAATCAATAAGTTTCCCCTGGACACTCCCAA